CAGTGGCGTATATACGAATTATTTTCACTATGGGCCGATTTATCAATTATCACTAGTCAAGCAGCATAGCCATAATTATACATTTTTAAGGGAGCAGCTGTTATATAATTAAGAATTATGACATATTATACAGTTCAAATAAAAATTGCGCAATTCAATTTTATAATTATCATGTAAAATTAATTTTTTGTTTCTTTTTTTAAAAATATTGACAGTGTCGTTTGTACATTTTAATGTTATCTTACTATGAATTGAACATCAAAGTCAATAAGTCATTAAAGCAAGTCACGTCAATATATCTAACATTTCCTTGTAGATTACTCAAAAATGATTTTAATCAACCGGCTAACTTAATCATGGTGAAAAACTGTTAACAGTGTAAATTTAATATACATGCAATGCTTTAATTGAACCTGCAATTTCACTATGGGCTCTGGCCTAGGGGGCCTCCCCCCTATATACGCCACTGCCAGGTAAATAAATAAGACTTAATTACTCTAATTATTAACTAATATGGTTGATAAATAATAATATTAAATGCCTACTAATGTATAATGTCTAATATATATTTTTTAAATTATTTAAAATAAAATTACACAGCGATTCCTACTTTATGAAAAATATATATTTTATTTCAATGAAAATATAATATGTATTCATGTTAAACTTAAGTAATTTATAGAAATGCATATTATATAATAATATTGTCACATCTCTACAATACTAAAAAGTTAAATAAATAGTTTATACCGCATCAGTAAATTTTAAGAAGGTTAAAAAAATGATGTAGATGAAGAGCACTTTTTTGTAGAAAAGAGAGATAGTCATTCACTCGCAAAAAACTATTGAAGGGCTGTCGGGGGGCCATGCGATCAAAAGGTAGTCACAGAGTCAGTGATATACTCGATAGTTATGCATATGAACATTAAGAAAATATATTTGTGGAATATTTTATGTATATTGTGTTCTATTTCCGATTATGCGTAAATAAAAAATTATGTGCTCATCATAACAAACCGTGTAGTTATGCTCTTCATATTTGCCGCTCCCTCCCCCTACGTGAAAAATGTTCCTGCGCTATTCCTTAATAGCATGTTAGCTTAAAAGACGTTTGCGTATATACACGGTCACACGGAGGTTATCAAATCGATTTTTACGAAAACTTGAAGTCGACGTCGTCGCCGGAGTTATTCACGGGCAATTTTCACACTATATTATTTCGGTCGCGGTCGAGGTTTCCGAATGCATAACCATAAAACCGTCTGCCATCGTAATGCGCCTCCGGATCCACGAGCCCCAGCTTGGGGGGGGGGGGGGTGATAAATGATATACTACACGTCGTCTTCGATTCGTCGCCGTCTCGGCAATGTTTCCGCGTCTATTTATAGGTAATGGATCCGTGCGTACGCACACATAATTATGCGTGTACTATTCATTAAATACGATGTGTTCGTAAGGTTCCGGACACCTTGACGTATTGATCCATATAGGCGCAACCGATTTTGGCATTTGCGAGTACTCGAAATTGAAACACCGACAATAGTGCGAAAATAGGTTTATGGAATATTTTTTAAATTCAAGACTACATTAAAATCATAACACACACACTCGACCACAAGTCCACCAAATTTAAGTTCCGGCCTTTCCGCATATATTTCTAATACGATTTTGTTTACAGTGCAATATTTTGTGAATACGTTAGATAATGTATCTCGTGTAGTAACAGTGGCGACTTCAAGTAACATTTTCGGAAATGGGGTGAGGTGTAGGTAATGCCACTGGTGCGTTGGACCGAGACGGTGACAAATGAGTCTTATGAATGCCATTTGCAAGAACAATATTTTTTTAAATCTATTGGATTTATTGCTATGGTTTACGCTTTCAGCCCCCCCCCCCCATCTGTACCACCAAGACTATACCGCGTGTTCTTCGCAACACCCTGTACACAACGCGATACCCGCACGCACGGTCTACGCACACGCACTCCGGTACACGCGCGTCGCGGCGGCGTTGCACCGCTGTGACGCGCCTCGCCGAAAAGCGCGTGCACCGCCGCCGATGACTGGCCCGCGGCGTGCACCGGCGGACCCGCGCGCACAACGTCCCGACCGGCGGCGACGGTGAATCGTCGTGTAGAGCGGCGGCCAGGCGCCGGGACGACGGTGCGAAAACCCGAGAAAAACCGTCTCAATTTGGTAGCCGGCAGGTAAGCGTACCAACCGTATACGTCATAATAATATATTGTGCACACACTAACTCGAACAACGGTTTTTAAAATACGCGAAATACGAGTTTTTTTATCAAAATTCATAAATATATTATATTATATTATATTATTAATGTGTACAATAACACTAATAACGATTGTGTTCTGATGCTCTGTGCCGATAATTATAATCGGATAGTGTCGATCGGAGGGGTACATTTTTATTATTATTATTATTATTATTATTATTGCCATAATAGGTATCGATCGAGGATAGGAGAGTCGCCGTCCCCCACGTGGGTACACACTTTACTTTTTTGACCTCGGGCCGAGTACGACGACATTTTAATATAATATTGCGGCGTCTTACCCCTGTAATCGCGGCGGTCATAATATATCGTAAATTACAGCTGACAAACTATCGCGGACGGATATTTCAACGATGATCGTCGTCGCGGTCGGCCGTCACTGTCCAAAGTGGTTCCGTCGGTTTGGCGCGTTGTTGTCCGCTGTCGAGGAACACATTTTCTTAGGCCGGCTTGAGATTTTCGAGCATTTTAAAGTTGATAAAAATGACCGTTTGCAGTGCGTCTCGCCGCGGGCTACAGCACGTACTATATCGTTTTGTCTCATGCGATTTGTCGTTGCACGAAATGCCAAAGCATAATATAGTGTTGTGCGCCGCCGTCTGCGGTTTTCGTCGCAATAGTTATATTCCGTACTTTAGCCGTTCATAGGTGAGTCAAATTGTATATTTAAATGGCTATACTATCATTATTACGAATGACTTCTTCTTCACGGCTGGCATCGTAATCGTTATGATATAATATATATATATATTGTATTTCGTTGTACGCATATATACGGCACACCGCGTTTACTGTATGACGACACGGAAACCTTTCCGATTGATATTATATTATATTATTTTGTCGTATACCCGTACACGAAATGGCATCGCTCATTATATTAGTAAAGATGTAATTGTGTTTCCGACGTGCTTTAAAAGAGTATTATTGTATGGGGCATGTATAATATATATTGCACTGTTTTTTATGCGCATTGCACACAGTGCGACTGATTACCGCCACGCAATGAGCCTACCTTTAGTGTATAATAATCATAATAATTATTGTTATTTGGTTTACTGCAGCTATATTATTGACATTAAACGAAATGGCAGAGCTTTGAAAAAATCGTATACGGAATCTTAGGTACCTGTATGTATATATATTAAACGTATTCGTCGGTCGTAAGGGAATGTCTCGAGAAAAAAATATTAATAAATATAATATGCGATACGATACCATATATATATACGAAAAAGATTGATGGATGAACCCGCCACAGACTTTTGATTTCGTGACGCGAGTACATTAACCTCGTCACCGTGCACTTGGTAACGGGCCACAGTTGTGTAATATCATAGAGTTGTTTTTTTTCGTCCGTTTATTATTTGGGTCGCCAGCATTTAAGTATAACGAAGCGGCGTCGTTCGGTTTTAAAATCTTCGGATAATAAGACCGCGATAAGACGACCGCCGCCGCATAACATTATATTTGTGTATATACAAAATAATATACCCGGATACCAGCTACATGTAACCACCGCACGTACCTACATAAATATATATTAGTAGTTCTTACGACGATATTTTTTTACCCCGGCGTCTTCAGTCGTTTGGAAACGCCATTTTTGTTTTTTAAAGATAAAGACGCCGCTCGATGACCTCGTGCAGGATACCTCTCTACATAGGTACCTATACTGTTGTAGTAGGTAACATAACAATATACTTATATTATACACATGCGTATGTTTATATGAAATGTCCGCAGCACGACTGGCTGTGGTTTAAAATTTGTTGTATACGCGACGGGTCAATATAGGTCAATCAATGGATGGTTTCCTCAAGTCTCGCTAAATTATTACACTCGCGCGCGCGCCAGTAGAATTTCTTAGAAACGCACGACATATTGATATTCCTATACTTTATGGGTACCTACACTGACCTGTACATAATTTATGTGTGTCATAATTAGCTTACCCCATCAGACGTCTCAAATAAAATTACACTATTATATTATTATTATTATTATTATTATTATTGTTGTTGTTGATGGTCATCGCTGGTGCGGCACGAATAACGATAATATAATAATAATATTATAATGTACGCCTTATTGTGCCACGTCTGTATCGTCATCTATAAGACGTATATATATATAAGCTGGCGCCACTTCCTCCAGGCCACACGCGCTTTCCAGCGCTTTTATAAATACATTTCGTTGTATTGTTTCACACGCACATCTGGACAATCTCCCGGCGCAGACAATAACGCCGATACGGAAAAACAAAGCATATTATATTTATAACAACAGCAGACTATAGGGCTCGAAACTATATATTACAATATCCCGAGATGCTCATCACTCGCGTAAAACGGCGTAACTGCGTAAGAACGCTGTCGCGTGTTCCATCCGTTTTTGCGCCGCTGAGCTTCAAAAACGGTGACCGTGCGGTCATCGCACTCGTCCGTGTTCGGGATAGGTATACCGCAAATCGGAAATGGCGTATAGGTGCAACGAATAATTTTCGTTAGACTTTTAGTGAAACATCAATTTTTTTTCCAGTATCGACGCTCACGACATGGACGTCTTCTCGAAAACTGGTCTGTTTCCGAAAAAACACCATCGCTGCATATCTCTGGAAAGGTAAGACACGCCCGTCGCCCATGTGCCAACACTGACGTGAGTTCCAGTCAAATCGTGTAGAGCCACAACTTTAAACTTAGGTCCGGCAAACGAAATTTTCACTGCCCACTTCCTTTCCGAGGGATCTTAGTGGGTTGTTTGTCCAAATGAATTTGCTGAAGTTATTGTATACGCTTCGTCGCTTTTTTAAGAGTATAATTACATGATTTGTTATATACACGATATACTCTTATCGTTTCATCGAGACTAACTGGAAAGCAGTATAACATAATAAAGTATGATATTATATTGAAGCGTATTTTGAGTCATGATTCTTAAATATGTGTTCCTCCTTTTCTATTTGAAAAACACATTTATAGTTTATACACTGTGAAGTTTATATTAAACATTTTGAATTTCCAGTAAGTAATCATAAGTAGGTACCCCATAAACATTAAAATTGAAATGGTAATATTAACACTCGTTGCTACAGGTTAATAAAATTTAAATCAAATTAAAGTGTGTTTTAAAACCGTAAATATTATTCAAAGAAAACCATATTTTAACCCTTCTCCCTCTCAGCATCCGGAACCAGAAACCATAACTACCACAACTAAATCTGTAATAGGGTACTTATTTATTTATTTACATTTTCAGCGGACAGTCCTCGACAAAAAAATCATGTCTGCAGAAAACCCCGTCGGATCCGCTGAGGTATTTTCCACGGCGGTATTCCACGCCGGAGCTGGCGATGAGAAGACACGCGCTCAGACATCAACAACGCGACGACGGCGTTCCGCCCGGACAGCTGATATCGAACAAATCGTGTCAGACCGACATCTTGGGATTGGACAAATACTTACAAAGGGCCAAGGGTAACGCTAGCCCGGAAAACGATTCGGATGCAGTGAGCTCGGAAGCAGCAGCGGCGGCGTTGAGGGCGTACAAAAAGCCATCGAAAAGGCCAAAGGTTCGGTCGGTGGCGGTACACTGCGAGAGGCGGAGGTTGTCGTTCGCGGCTTTCAAAGGCTGCCAAAAGTTTAAGCACGTGTACAAGCGCAAAGTCTCGTTACCCCAACCGTCTTCGGCGACCACCTCGACAGACGATGCCCGGCGCCGGGACCGCAATGTATTGCCAAGACTGCGGCCAGATCGGGCGGCTGAAACGGAACGACCGGCGGCCGCCAATAAGGTCTGCGTGGCCGTCAAACTGCCAAGGATACCGACCAGGGATCAGCGACCGGAAGCGGACAGGCCCGACGATGGTGGTGGCGTAAGGACACGACTGGCCAGACTAACCAGGCCACAGTCGACGGGCAGTAGTGGAGACGGGAGTGGTGACCGGAGACTGGCGGCCGCGTACTTTCGGGCAAAATCGGCTCCGAAAGTATACTCGCCACGATTTCAAGCCACAGCGCCACAATCGTTGGACCATGAGCCACTACAATCGACGCCCGGGACTAGCGACACGGCTGACACAACGCTCGATACGCCGTTCGGCCAACGACAGCCGGTTGACGCCACGTCCACGATGACGGCCACCGAGACGGCCGGGACTAGGACAGTGTCAACGTCTACCACATTCACCGAACCAGGATTCCCGATAGTGTTCAGCTGCGAGAGTGTTCTCCGGCACCCGTTGGACGGGGGTTACGTGTCACACACCGAGAGCCACCGATTCAGTGTGCACTACGTGTCGGCCGATGCAGCCCGGTCATCGGTGACGGCCACGTCGGACACCGATGTAGAAAGCGGCCCATCTTTGGTGTTCACGTCAGGTGGTGGGTGCCAAGACGAACGTTGCCTGACTGGCGAATCGGTATCAGTCACTCTAGGCGGCAAACCGGACGACCCGGTGGCATCAACGTCCACTACTGGCGTGGCCGGAGAACGGCGTCTGGTGGTCGAACGCTGCACCGACGTACGTCGGTCAAAGAACGACGTGGCGGCCGACCGTGGTACAGGCGATAAGGCAACCGACCACGGTACCGTCGATACGGCCACAAAACAAGGTACCATCGAGACGGCCACCAAACAAGGTAATACCGAGACGGTCACCAAACAAGGTAATACCGAGACGGCCACCAAACAAGGTAATACCGAGATGGCTACCGATCGAGGTACCAGCGAGACGGCCACTGACAGTGGAACGTGTGAAATGACAGCCACTGACGACGATGACCAAACCTTTAGCGAACCACCACCGTCACCGCAGTCACCGCCGACGAGCTCGTCTCCTTCGTCGTCTTCGTCGGTTCGGTACTGTTGGCCGGTGAACGAAAACCGCAACCCAGGGACCAATAACGCAGAGGAAGCGGGCACAGAAAAGCTGGGAAACGGCGAACACGACGCCGTACAAAAGACCGAAGAATTTTACGTTTCGGGAAAAGGCGACGGTGCAAACGCGTTAAAAAAGGCTGCATCACCGGCGGCAGTCAATAAAAGTATTGATACTTTGGGCGAAGCAGGCGGGGGGGAGGAGGGCGATGAGCTCGAATTGCACGCACGCACGGACGATGTTGACGACGACATGCCATTACAATCCAACGAACGAAATTATGAGCGGTTGACACAAAACCATCAAATAATAGAATCCAGCCGTACCGTTTCGAATCAGTCGCCGAAACCCGACGACACGGAATCGGTGCTGGTGGGTCGACAAAACGATTTGGGCCCAATAGAAAGTCATAATACGCACGCAAACGTTGTCGAGCCTATTGCAGCGGAGCATCGAGGCACGACAAACGAAACCACTGCTACAGAACAGCAGCAATCAATCGCGGACAACCTTCTCACGGTCCCGTCGGATCGTCGTCTGCAATCTGACGAGGATCCGGCCGTGGCAGAGATCATGGCGTCTCGACGTCGAAACGATTTGCAACGCTCTGAGTCGTCCGGAAGACGTGAGGTTGCGGGTGCAATGGACAGGAATCCTCGCACAGGTCTACGCGAAAACGGACAAACTGTGCAATCGAACAGACCGCAAATGGAATCTATCAAGCGCAACATGCCCAACAGACTCGACGACAATATGAGCCGCAAACGAGGCGATGACAGGGACGCAGATTCTCGTTACCCCGTACATCGTCAGCTACACGGATCGTCGTCGGGCTCGACACCTGCCCAGCACTCGAACGCGACCGATCGCGGATATGCAAACACGATGGAGACTACGGCCGTGCCATCGAACGCAGTGAACGACCACTTGCAACACAGCTACGAACCTTTCGGAAAGCGGACGAACGGACTTCAAGACGGTGGCAGACGTGTCCGTGAGCAGGATGTAACGACGAACGACTGTAAGGGATGTGCTTATGGGGTCGCGAAAAAAAACGTAGAGGGAAGGTCTGAAGTATATGACGCCGACAGCCACGACCGCAACGGTGGACACTCGTACGACGTTGGGAAGAAACGGAATCCGGTGTCGAAACGGAGGTTGGAATCTGTGGACGAGGTGACGGAAACTTCGAAGCAGCAGCAGCAACAGAAGCAACAGGAGTCCAACTACGTAGGAGGGTGTCTGTTCGGCGATTCGTTCAACCGCAGCAAAAAACCTTCGCAAAGGTACGGAGAACGCGCCGAGTACGGTCGCGGGTACTATGATAGCGATTCGAAAAAAGTCAACTTCTCGTCGAAACCCGACTGCCGGTACGATTACTATCGCAGCGAACATGCTCCCAAGACTGGAGGTCACAGCCCTAGGGACGAGGACTGTACAGTTTTCGCGGACCGCGGGTCCCATCATGGCTCGACGGCGCAGCTTCCTTACTACTCGCACCTGGACTGCAAACGTACGTACGGTGGCAGTGGCGATAGGAAATGCACTACAGACATCACCGACGATGATGACGACGACGACGACGACGATGAGAGTCTCACGGACAGCCTGGAAGACGGGTGTAAGTATGAGGGAACGGCCGTGTCGTATTTCCTTGCGCTCGACGGTCAAAAGTCTGCGGTTACGTTCACTCTGAAGATGCCCGGCACGCTGGAGAGCCGACTTAACCGGCGCCAGAGTCTGCTCAAGAAGCACCTGCACGTGTCAACGACTGTCCGGAAATCGGTGGCCGCGGTACGGGTTCGCACCCGGCACAAGGGGTGCCAGACACTGTGGACCGTCGAGAAGGGGGTACAGGTGCAGCGGGGCTCCACGGCCAACATGGACGACCGCAGGGCACTGGAGACGCTTCTGGCCGGGCTGGGACGCAGCCACGTGTCCGAGAACCAGATCCGGCTTGTCGGCGGCCGGAAGATGGTGTCAGAGGGCAACCAGACAGAACACCCGCCCGCAAACCGGCACACCCAGACGACTAGGGACGTGGCAGCGGGTCGGGAAACTCCCGAGTGCTGTTCCGTGGCCGGGAGGCAGGGCAAGAACCAGACGCTTGCGATGAAAAAATTTTCCGCTGACAACGCTCTGATGGTGGGCGTGGTCAGACAAAACAAGTACTGCAAGGGAAAAGAAGCTTTGGAAGGTGCCAAAAACGATCAACTGCTCACGCTGTCCAAGGGTTGGATCAACTTTTATACTCTCAGGGCCGACAGTGCGGACGTGGAAGCACAAGGTATAATAAATATTATTATGTCAAACAGTCGCATTTAGTTTATAAGCCATAATAATATAGTTATTATATAGGATGAATTTTTAAGCCCTACTTTTATGATAAAATTATACATGTGTTCAAATTCTGATTTTTGGAATTTTTAAATACACTTTGAAGGCTATATTTTGGAGTAAGTACTTGAGATTTTTATACCACTTAATATCGTGACAATACCAATTTTATTTTAATAGGAGTCCCTCTTTTTCACTTATAATTATTCGGCAGATATTATTCTTTGTCAGAAATTTTGATGTATCTAAACCAAAATTTGAATAAATAGGTAGTTCTTAAGTTATTTAATTTGTGTATACTAAAGATAATATGGTAATTGGTAGGTTATGAGTTAAGTGGATATGAGGGCTTAGATAATTAAAAAATGTTGGTAATTACTAATTACCATTGAATTTATAAAAATCATCCAAGAATAATAAATACCTACGTACATATAATATTACATACCTACATCATTTATATTTTTATAAAACCATTTTTAAGGATTATTATCCTCAGAATTATGTATAAAATTGTTGAAAGTTTAGAAACTACTCATTGGAATTTTGATTTGTATTCTCAAAAATTGTTCAAAAGAAAAATTCGCTAAATAATTTACAAAAAGAGGTCGTTCTTATTTTTAAAATAGAAGTTTGTATCACCGCAGGAGTACAACCTACTCTTTAAGTAGTAGGTACATAAAATAACGGGAATTTTAGAAATTAGAATTTGAATAATTTTACTATTAAAAGGGAAAGTATGGGTGAACGTGCTTTAAAAATCACCCTATAGGTAATAAACCATATATGTAATAAAGATGACATTGAAATTTACAAAAACTCGAATGTAGTCTCGAATTTTTTTGTTTTGAAACATTTAAAGCGCCTGTATACGTGTTTCAACAAATTACGAGTATATGAAATATAATTTAAAATTATTTATTTAATTAAAGCAGCTAATATTGGACTCGATAATTATATATATACATGCATACGCATGATGTAAAAGTGGTTTAAAATCTTAACCAATAATAATTTTGAAATCAATAAAAATTGAAAACTTCAGTACATAAGACCCAAAAATTTTGTTTTCTACTGAAGTAGAATTTAACGATAACGACGACGAGGTCAAAGCCGAGGACAACAGCCAACAATACACTGTACACGTGCAAGCCATCCCAGAACCCGCGGTGACATTGCCCGTAGTTCACGTTCCTCATCGAAATAATAATCTGCAAGTGCCGAAGACATGTAGCACTACAGCCAAACATTTACCAAAACTCGTGCAGACAGAGACCAATAACAATCATCATTGTCCAGCGCATTTAGGTAACGTTTGAATTTGATACCTTCTTATTTGTACATGTAATTAGGTATAACATAATTTATACAAGTTATTACAGTTTAATGTACCCGTTATGGTGTTTAAAAAATATTAAAAGGAAGGAAAGTAAAAAATATTATGAGTGCCTACGTCAGGTATATTTTCAATTTCATCCTCGTATATAATAGTAACAATAATCCATTTGCATGAAATATGAATAGGTACCATATGATAATTGTATATCATGTTCATTATTACTAGGTATCTTCTTTTACCTCTAGTACACTCACGCCAGCTATTTTAATGTAACTTACTAATATGTCTGTTCCGTTGCTATATCAATCTCTTATTTGGTCGCTCCTTTCCATAACAAGTCACACTGTCACTGAATCATCTCTTCTCTTGCCCTATTCTGCAATCTCTAGTCAGAAGTCACACCATACATCCACGATTTTTCTTGTATATCATTTTCTTCTCTGCTGCACTCATCTTCTGTTTTGTAAATTTATTTATTTATTATTTTATTATTTAGGTATACAGGTCAATTTTGTTTCATTTTTTTCCAGAACCTAAAATCTAATAAATAATATTGCTTACTTGATAAATAATAAATACTAATTTAATCAAACTAGTATCCAGCATAGAGGTTGGTATAGAATATATTATAGTAGATTTATTCATAAACTTTACAACGTTTAAACACCTACATGGCTACATAAAATAATTTTTATTCAATTAAATTAATATTAAATCATGTTATTGACACATTCATTCTATAATATTATGATATTTTTTAGATTTTAAACTTTAGATGAATAAAAAAATGATTAAGAAATCCAAGTCTGAATGAAACCCTATTTTGATTTCAAACATCTAGATATTCTCATTCCTCAAATAGCAATAACTTTATACATACCTACCTGTATAGTACATATTATTGATTAATAGTATTTTATTATATAAATTTAATACATATGTTTTTTTTTAAATTTTGTTTATTACAAATTTCTTATTGTAATTAAATGTGCTTTAGTACCTACTTTCTTCCATTTACAATAGTATTTAGGTAGTAAATATTAAGTCCTTAAAACTTTATTCTCACCCTTTCTAAACTAATTACACAATGTATTTGATTTATACAGCAACAGCAAATGGTTGGTGTGTAAGTGTGGATGGTCCAAACAACATGCACATGAAGGTTTCATTACTACCCGATAAGGCAGGCATAAAAACATCTGAACATTATGACCTCAATGGTAATTGTAATTAATATAATAGAGTATCTTGTTTTTGTTGAGTATAAAAGACAATGTTTAGACGAAAATAAACTAGATGCCAGGAGATTAGCTTTGCAAAGGAAGACCAACTACACGCGCAAACCTTATAGAAATATGAAAAGAACACAATCAACGGTAAATCATTATGTTTAAAATTTTTTTCTGTACATATATAAGAATTCTTGTTTAGCCTAGGGACATGTTCTCAGCAGACGTTTCACGAACAGAGTCTGCCTTGTCGGCCGAGAGCAAATACATTGAGACAATTGACACACAACTTCTAATCCACAAGGCTCGAAGGTATGACTGATCACAGATAATCATGAGTTTGTCATTATTATTAATGGCAAATTTTTATACTTTGAAATAGGCGTTTAAGTCAGGAATGGGACACGAGAATTCAAAATAGAGGTTTAACTGAATCAGTTCAGTTAGTCGTTACAGGAGATTCGGTTTCCAGCAGAACATCTCAACATTATGCAACTAGAGGACATCAACATTGCTCATTCAGAAGACAATCAAGAAGAATTTAATATACCTAACATTTTTTATAAATTAATTATAATAATAATTACTATTTTATACAAGTAGGTGAATTAGTGACTAACTAGAAAAACTTATAATTATTCACAATTACACATTTTTACATAATTCTAACTTTATAAATTGTCTTAAGAATTTAAGATGTTTCATTAAATACATTATTGTATTGTTATTATTCTTAGACTGAATGTATTTCACATAGAAGCAATAACTAAAATTTTATTGTAGTGTTAAAAATAATAAAATTATTGTATGTTTTGTGAAAATGTATGTCAATAGTTATTCCTTATTACTCTTTGGGTTGTCCAATAGCAAATTTAATTTTCTTTTCTTGTGGTTCATCTTCTGATTCTTTTAGTACAGCTTTAGGCTGTGTCTTAGCGTAAGCAGGGGTAATCCAGTATGGATTATCAGCTGCATCTTGAGCATACTTCAAAATTGCCTCTCGTGGATCTTGATCGTCTTCAACTCGTTTGCTTAATCCCAAATTACGAATAACATAGGAGCTAAGGGTGCTACCTGATGCAGCAACACGACCACCTTGGCCAGACTTGATTGGTAAATCTGGCCTTTTTGATTTTACTGGATCCAATCTATCTTTTTCATTCCGTTTCTTCAATGATTTATTTCTGTCTTGTCTAAACATTGGTAGTGCGTGCGGTGTTATGATTTGTTGTGTTGGTACCATTTCCATTTGTTTGGTTTTAGTATGAGCTTTCGATGCACATAGCATTGCACCTCTTTGGCTGTTTACTTTGTCGTAGAACACTTTAACAGTTCCGTCACCACAACCTGCAAATAACTGTTTAAGCTTTGGATGCCAGAACACTTTTATGGAATGTGTTTCAGAAACTTTAACTTTTTCAACAAGTTCAAATGTATCGGTATTGTAAAACATTAAATGTCCTCCTTGTTCTTTGGGACGTACCGAGTGACCAGTCACTACTATTGAATCATCTGGGCTAAAACAGCAGTCAGTTGTAGAATACCTATATAATTTAAACACAAAATATTATTTACAAATTAATTTTAAAATCATTATATTATATTCATGCATTTATATAAGAAAACTTAAACAACCGTACTATTGACATACCTAGAATAGAGCCCGTCAACTACATGAATAGGCTTCTTAAAAGCCCTAATGTCCCAGAGTTTCATTGTTTCATCAATACCTTCACCGCGGGTACATATTAATGTGTCTCTATAAGAAAACACAATAGAAGAGGTATCCGAGTTATTTAAATGAGCATCTCGTATTGTAAACGTTGCGTTCACAAAACTTGGTTTTCGGGTGTCCCAAACAAGAATTGATCCATCCCTACACGCGCAAGCAACTAATTTGCCGTCATTACTATAGTTGCAAGTAGTCGGTATTGTTCTCAAACCATTTTTGGCTCTACATTTAATTATGCTCTTATGTTTATCTTTTTTGGTCATATCCCAAATACGACAAGATCCGTCTTCTGAACTGGTTAAAAATTCTTCTTTTTGTCTCGGATGCCATGTACCACAAGTCAATGGAGATGTATGGCCTTTGGTACGCACCTAATAAAAATTATGACCTATTAATATCATTGTATAATTCCTATGAATTTTTTATTAATAATAAGTACTCTATAAGTTTGCTACCTACATAAACTAATTGTGTTAAGTATTCTACCAACAAATCTTAATTTACTAATAAAAATATTTTATATAACTTCATAAATCATTTTCCATAAATAATTTTTAAGTATTATTTCGTTAAAAATTCAAATTTATGTCACTTTAAAAAAACACCTTAAACTCATCAGTTGAATTTATTCAAAACCAGCATTCCTCCTACAGTTGCTACTGAGTAGACTTGTTGCTTCTTTTGCCTCCATTCCATTAATTTGTTTTCTCAACTTTCATAATTTTCACTTTATTATTTTACATAATATACTAGTTTATATGCTATTCGAATTCCTAACTTCAAAACATGTAGATAGTATAGGTACTAAAATATTAAAATAGAATAACTTACTATACTCTATCTCAAAAGACAAAAATCACTTTTGGGATTCGAGCGTTGAAAAGTTAACACCGAGAAATTGGTGCGAGATGCACTGACGTGAATCGGTTGGCCGAACGATTATTCTCTTTACAGAGATAGAGTACAATTAATTATTTGTTCAATATTAAGTAATTAAATATGTGTGTAGCCTGTATGTATTAGCATTGATTATACATGGTATGATAGTATTATACTATATATAAACAATGGTATTAGAAAGCATACTTCAACAAAAAATGTTGTGTAGGTAGCATATTTAACGGTTACCTAATAATATTATAAATCAATTACCATATCAGAAATGTACTGATCACCTTTGACACATTCCCATAGTTCATGACCATCTCTATCTAATACTTTAGCTTGAGACATGCCAGAAATTACTAAAAGGCGGTCTCCAGTTGGTGAGTATTTTAAAAATTTGATTGGATGGTTGCCACAAGGAGTTAGAGTTCTGAAACTCTGTAGTGTTTGGTCCATACCAGCAAAATCCCAAAGCCTCACGTCATAGTCAACAGATCCACTAGCCAACCTGACTCCTGGAGGATCTATGCAAAGTGCAGAGACTGCTTTGGTACCATGATTTAAAGACACTTGACTTTCTATGGGAATTTTTCTAAGTTTCGAATCATCATCATCATCATCATCATCATTGTCGTCATCATCACTGCTGTCATTGTCATCATCTCGTTTGTCTTTTGAACGAGTCACTGTTTCAACTTCTTTATTTCCCTTGTCATGATCATCTGTAGACATATTTTGTGTATTTTTTTCCAATACTTTTAATTCATTGGGAATAGGTGGCCCAATATAATCATCTTCATCTTCTTCATTGTTTATCTCGCTGTTTTGCTTGTCAGTCATTGTACAATTTTAAATACAATCTGAAATCAAATTAAATAGTTTACATATGAGTCATATTACATACTTCAAAGTTCAAAGATTTAAAGAAAAATTAATATTCTTAACAGGAATGTATTATATTGTATTACTAATTTAATGCATTTGCATAATTAATTGCATTTCTCTCAAGTCTATAGATATTTTATCAGAGTTAAAAAAGTTCATGTTAAAATAATTTATTAATTTTATAATAATTCAATATTTAAATAGAAATTGTTCAATTTGAGTTATTAATGTAAAAGTTATTTAAAATATACATTGTGGAATGAAGTTAATATTTTACATTCGGTGGATGGGTTGGACAGTGGGCACAGGCCCCATGTGCCCCCCGTTAAATACACTTCCGGGCTATGTACTGGGTAAATTCACACAATATTATTTGTTGTGGGTCTTAAAACCACAAAACTGAATTCATGAACAAATACTTTTTATTTTTAGGATAAAATGTAACAATCTATATCATAAACACTATATTGTAGGATGAGAAGGCAAAAGAATTATGGGTTATTTCATTTAAGGAAAGAAGTACAGTAACGACACTTTCAGTTTGATTTTTAATAAATAAATATTAAATAATAATTGTATGAACATTAGTGTCAGTAGACAGTAGTGAGTATTACTTAAATCCATTTTATAAATACAACTAAGTATATTTAACAAAAATAATTCATTTAAGATGGCGTATACTTACTAAAAAGTTCACTTACTAAAACTTATAAATTTATTAATAGGTACATGGGTTTGATGTTTGAAACTTAGAAATTTCGTTGCTTGTGTTTCGATTTTCTTATCACTAAGCTCCTAACAATTTAAATTTTAAATCAAGTTCTTATCACAGAACAATATCGTCTTATCAATCTACAATTTTTGTTTTAAAAATTAAACAAACATAACTTTTAAAATTTGTTAATCACTCGTATGAATTATGTCATCTTTCAATAATTTCTTGAAAAATTAATTTATATATTATGTGTTTATAAGTATTTAAATTTTAATAAGATGGATTTTATTTACTTATACGAATGATGTTAGTAACTTTTATCAAAACCTAACCTAAGAATGAATCATGTAAAATAAAATATAATTTTCCGATCCTTTTTGTTCAAAGAGAAAATCGTCTAGTGAACTAAAGTGAAAAATAAAATTGTAGCTTTTCTAAAACTTATTTGTTGAATCGCCGAAAGCTCGTAAGTATGATCTAAGCATAAATATTCGAATAATTCATTAAGTGTAAATAAAACCATAATTGATTTATGTCATATTGAAGCTTTCCGATTACCTATCAGTCATCAGTATAATATGGACTAATAATATATAACTACTTATAAGTATTAGTTATGTTAATAAGTTGTATTTATTTAAATCACAAAGATACATGTATGTAATAATATTAGCGTAAATTAGAGAGCTTAGGTGAAATTTATTACCATCCATTGTTGGGTAGTAATGTAACGCAAATTACAAATTACTGTAACTTAATTACTTTTTCAGTAACGTAGCAGTAATTTCATTACATTTTACTTAAAGTAAATCAATTGTAACAAAATTACTTTTTAAAAGTAATTTCTATGAAGTAACACACTAACGAGTTATTTTCCATGTCATTAAAATAATAGTTTTGAATGTATTACAAAAACAAGCCGATAAGACATTTCATAAATATCAAAAATTAATTATATTTATTTTCAACTGGATAACAGTTAGGTAACAATATTAAGCATTCTATGAATTAATGTTAGTATATTTATTACTTTATAAGCAGAAAGAATAGAGTTCGGTTAAAAAATAAAATTTAATTAAAATGAATTACGATTTATGACTTATGAGGAAACTACCTGTCTGCCTATTTGGCCATATAGGTAAGATGACTGTACAAACTTTACATTTGTACATAATTAATCTATTATCACTAGGTCTATGATTATAAAATATATACATAATAATTGAATCATTTAAATTGAATATGGTTTGAAAAAAAAGTTATTTGTAACGCACTTCTTAATTAATAAAAAATTATTTTAAGTAGGTAACGTAAATGTAATTGAAATAAAAATATTTGAATAATTTTATTACTTTTTAAAAGTAATTTACCCAACACTGAACTACTGTCCTACTAACAAGGATATTCTGTAGAATTGCGTTCCAACAATATATGCATTAATGCCTGTATTCTTTTATATTTTATTAGACGCTCTAATGCAAATTGAGTATATTTTCAAAGTTTAAATGATGTTAGTGAGACTATAACATAAGTTGCTTATATCTTACCCATTGTGTGATCATTTTTATTCTTGCATTCAACTGATTGTACATTACCACCTCAGGACTA